CTGAAGCCAGATATGGTCATTCCATTGATGTGGTGTACAGTCGAGGGAAGAGTATTGGTGAAGAGTATGAGGACGGTCATACATGCCTTCTACCCAAAGAATCACAGAAAGATGGAAGAGTGTAGCTGACTGCCTACCCCGTGTGTTCCTGGTGAATTTTGAGTTTGGATGTGCCTCATCATATATTTTTCCAGAACTTCAGGATGGGCTATCTTTTCATGTCTCTATTGCCAGAAATGACACTGTCTATATCTTAGGAGGACAGTCACTTGCCAGTAACATCCGCCCTGCCAACCTGTACAGAATAAGGGTCGACCTTCCCCTGGGCAGTCCAACTGTGAATTGCACTGTCTTGCCGGGAGGAATCTCTGTCTCCAGTGCAATCCTCACTCAAACTAACAATGATGAATTTGCTATTGTTGGTGGGTATCAGCTTGAAAATGAAAAAAGAATGATCTGCAACATCATCTCTTTGGAGGACAACAAGATAGACATTCGTGAGATGGAGACCCCAGATTGGACCGCAGACATTAAGCACAGCAAGATATGGTTTGGAAGCAACATGGGAAATGGAACCGTTTTTCTTGGCATACCAGGAGACAACAAACAGGCTGTTTCAGAAGCATACTATTTCTACATGTTGAAATGTGCTGAGGATGATGTGATTGAAGAACAGACAGCATTCACAAACAGTCAGACATCAACAGAAGATCCAGGGGACTCCACTCCCTTCGAAGACTCAGAAGAATTTTGTTTCAGTGCAGAAGCAAATAGTTTCGATGATGATGATGAATTTGAGACCTATAATGAAGATGATGAGGAAGATGAGTCTGAGACCTGCTACTGGATTACATGCTGCCCTACTTGTGATGTGGATATCAACACTTGGGTACCATTCTATTCAACTGAGCTCAACAAACCTGCCATGATCTACTGGTCCCATGGAGATGGGTACTGGGTCCATGCCCAGTGCATGGATCTGGCAGAACATACACTCACCCATCTATCAGAAGGAAGCAACAAATATTACTGCAATGAGCATGTGGAGATAGCAAGAGCTCTACAAACCCCCCAAAAAGCCCAACCCTTAAAGAAGGCTCTGATGAAATCCCTCCATAAAAAGGGATCAGGGAAAATCTTTACTCCTGTCAAAAAGTCCTTTCTTAGAAGGTTGTTGGATTAGTTTTGCGAAAGTCTATCAGATTCAAGTGCGTGGAATTTTTAAACTTTTTTTTAGTCAGGGTCTCACTTTGTCACCCAGGCTGGAGTGCAGTGGCACCAACATGGCTTCCTGCAGCCTTAACCTCCTAGGCTCAGGTGATCCTTCTGCCTCAGTCTCCTGAGTAACTGGGACTACAGGTGTGCACCACCCTGCCTGACTTTTTTTTGTTGTTGATGTTGAGTGAAGTTTTCACCGAGTTGCCTAGGCTGGTCTGGAATTCCAGGGCTCAAGTGATCCTCCCACCTCAGATTCCCAAAGTTCTGGGATTACAGGCATGAGCCACCACACCCAGTCCAATTTTTAAATATATTTTAAAGAATCATAATGATGATTTAAAAAAATGTGTTTCTATTTTTGTTTATTGAAAATACATGTGTTTTCTTTTAGTTACATGAACTAAGTGCCAGAAAGATGTGCTTATAATGCAATGATAAATGCTGTCATTCTAGAACCTATACATCTTGAAAATATTTTACTCAAAAACTCAATTTGCTCATTTATTCTTAATTGAGAATTTCTAACCTAATTTTTAAATTCAAGAAATCTTGATCACAGAAGTACTAATACTAAGGAATGTCATATTCCTTATGTGATTTTTGGTGACAAATAACCTATAGAGTAATTAGGACAGATTTAACCAATAAAGAAACTAACACCCAAAATAATTTAATCATTTTGTGCAATATAACAAGTTGGCAGTTGGCCCAAACTTAAAACCAAAATCAACCATATCCCCACTAATGCTCTTCATACACCTTCAAGCAGCCCCATGGATTTTGTGCGTGAGAACAAGTTAATACCTTACAGTTTTTATGTGTGTGTGTGCTTGTGCACATGTGTGTCTCCACTGACATGAAGGAAGAAATAAAGAATCTAGTCAAACTAGGTACATTTTTATTGAATTATCTGCATGCATTTTCTTCAAGGATTCCCTCTTCCCCCATTATATGATACATGAATGACATATCAAAGTCAGCCACTTGAACCATTTATTTAAGGATGGTTTCATGGAAAACCAATACCCACTGATACTTAGCACTCTGGCAAAGGGAGATGAGAAAGAATAGAACAAGAAAGGGCCACAAAATAAACCTCGTGGAGAAAAATAATATTGATTATTTCCCAAAATAATATAAGTTTAAAGAATTTAATGAAAGTTAACAGGCAGGAGATTTTATTTTATTTTTTATTTTTTTCTGGGTGGTAGTTTGAATTTTAGTTTTTTGAGGAACCTCTATACTGTTTTCCACAGTGACTATACTAATTTACATTCCCACCAACAGTGTATAAGCATTCCCCTTTCTTCGTATCCTCAACAGCATTCATTATTTTTGTATTTCTTATAATAGAACAGGCAGAAGATTTTAAATGGGGGAAAGGAAATATATATAGTTGTGTGTGTGTAGTAAACTTGTGGGGTTTGCTGTCAGTGAATATTATAAAATCAGTGGACTTGCCAAAGTTTAACTAGATATTCATCAGAATGAAAGTAGTTAAAAGGACTGTTAATTTTAAGGCTTTGAGACATCAGTTCATAATCAGATGAACTTAGAAACAAGCATCTTTCCTCCTGGAGTATTTTTCTGGAAAGGCATTTGACCTTATCCAAAGCGCTTCAGTCATAGCTTCAAATCCTTCGTTGAATGTCCACAATGTGTAAGGTGCGACTAGCAAATTTAGGGGGAAATGAACCACACCAGAGAGGAGGCCCTGGAGCCCAATTTCTTCTGCCAAAAGTTCCATGTCCCAGATACTGATGTTAACACAGACAAACTAAATCATGTTCCTTCTGTTTCGATAATGTGGCTTGATGAATATTTCTTTTGGACAATTGTTGTACATTGATGTGGTTTTTTGTTGTTTTCAGCACTTCGATAAAAATAAAATATAAAAGACTTCTGTGTATATTCATGTGCCCAAATTATTAACATTTATAGTTGCCTAAATAAGGCAAAATTAGAATGTTTAATTTTGGGGGGATCATTCCATCTTGATTTATTTTCTATTTGTTAGTAGAAAATGACATAAATTGGAGATAAAATATTTTTTACAGAGTCCAAAGAAAGCATTCCCTCAAGAAGTAGGTACATTCTCTCTTCTTGATTTGCCTACAGTGATTCAGTGGTTAAAGAATTGTTATCCCGTATTTATTTTGTAGTCAATGAGATCAAGATATGATAATTTAAGTGACCCAGTTTTGAACTCACCTACTACCATAGCCAAATTCAGATTGCATTAGCATAGCTGCTTTTAGAGGGAGTGTGTATGTGTGTGTGCATGCACGCACTCATGCTCATATATGTTTCAAGAGCAAGTAGTTTGACTTTACTTATCAAATATTTGAGTAAAAATAGGTCTTTTTAAGTCATCTCACCAATGAGTCCATCAGATGTGACTTTAAGATAATGACACTGCTTTTCTAATAAGCTTATGCAAACATTCAAATGAGCCACACTAAAGAAATAAACACTTATTTCAACAATATTGCCTTTGCTTAAAACATTTCAGGGACTCAAGTGTCAGTTACCTTTGGAATCCATGGTGCACTGCTTTGAAAAATGTTTAACAGTTGTCCCTGTTTGTCTGTTAGAAGTAGACATGATTTCTAAAAGCAGACAAATGTCATTTAAAGCCTAGCAGTGTATGACTTTCAGTATCACCACATTTGGTCAAAAACAAAGTGTGAATAGAAGTTAACAAAATGGATTATCTGATGTGGCATAAGTAGTTTATAAAGATAACTCCCAAAATTGTTTGCACAAGAGTAAGCGTAGTATCAATAAATAAGTATATGGCTTTCCAAAGTGATCACGTTAAGGAACTATATCCATCTACAAGAACAAGTCAGTTCAATGTGTTAGGGTAAGGGAAGACGTAGGAAAGAGGAATGTTAATCCAAAGGGGTGAGATGAAGCCTGTACCATTTGAGGAAGAGAAAAAAGGCCAGTCTGGTTAAAACATGGTACACAAGTAAGATGTGGAATAGGATGAGCCCAGAGGCAGGCAGGAGCCAACGCCCCAATTTTTCACCAGCAAAATGAAATCACATTCTGTGCTGCCCATAACAGAGAGCAATTATAAGGGTCAAATAAGTCATTGCACACTGGAAAATACTATCTGAGCATATATTTGTGTTGTGTGTTCAAAAATGTAGTTTTATTACTCTCTATCACTGTAGAATAAATCCAGATACTCTACATACAAATTATTTAAGAAGGAGTTTATGCTGCTATTGGCCAGAGATTTTATGATAATAAGCATGTGTAAGAAATTACAAATTCCTAATGACAAATACAGACATTGGACCACAGATCATCAAAGACTACATAAAATCCATATATGACCTGCTTTTGGGTTGGGCTTTTGTACATAGCAGAGCAGCTCCCACACTGCGATCTGTCAAAAGTCAGTGCTCAACACAAGGGCGAGTAAAAGAAAGAGACAAAAAAAAAAAAGTAGAACTACATAAAGATACTTTAGGTAGGCTGAAAGGAGGAAGACTAGGCCTTAATTATTGTTAGAAAGATGTTCAATAAAACATGGTTAGAAGAAATAAGTCATCATATTACATCTCATGCTGAAAGTCAAATTGTGAGATCGTATTTGTCCAGAAGGATACTCAACTAACTGGAAATTGTTTTTTGGTAGACCATCGGTTGATAAAAGAAAGTATGTAAAGCTTGGGGAAGAGAGGAATCACTCACTTGGCCCGACATGAATTGTCCATCTTGATCTGTTCCCTCCTGAGTTTCTTCTCAGCTTCCCACTCTCTTCACACTATGCTCAATCTCAAAAATGTCAAATTGCTGACACTCCTAGTGGGCACCCCTGGTTGTTTCAGACCCCAGGACCTTTGAGTAGCCTGCCTCTTTTCTCCCCTTGCACTTGGTAACTTCTGCTGATACCCAAGTCCCTCTGGCTGTATTCACTTTTTACATCCCAGGTAAGCTACCTCTTCCTCCAGGAAGCCTTCTCTGAACCTCCCCTGCCTTCCAGAGGGCCGTAGTGCTTACAGATCTCAGCTTCCATACCCAGAAGTGTAAGAAATAAAGCCATTTGTATTTTTTTCTGACTCCACTATGCATCTATTTTGCTATTTGCTGTAAATACAATTTCAATAAACATAGGTGTCACCTATTTTCACCCAACTTTTTGTCCAAGTGCCAATTTTCCAGAAGTAGGAGTGAGGAGGGAGAAGTGTCCGGTTTTTGTGATCACCATGCCTCCTCATAAGCTTCAGCTACAACACCCACATTCCTACCTAACCTGCCATTATCCAACTTTGAAGATGGCACCTGAAAGGTACTTCAGTCTTAACCACGAGGCTTCCTTGGGTCTAGCTCTGTCTCAGTTGCTTTCAGGTCCCTGGTGGGTTCATGTGCCCCTTCCTCTCCCTGCATTGTCATTTCTCATTGTGGGACCATCTAGGGCTTGTCTGTTTCTGGACCTTTCATGGAAGCATCCTACAGCTTGCTAAGCCACAGAATCACTTCCAGGCCGTCACTGGCTGGATATGCCTCACACAACTTCACCTCTGAATGTGGCTGGCTCCCTGGGTCCTGTCAGGGAAGTGAGATGTAGATCCCCTCTGCTCCTGACTCCTCAAACTTGACTAGGGTTTCTCCTGCTCTCCTTGACTCCACAACTCCGCCCATGGCAAAAGCTACAAAGACCCCTTTTCTCTGGAACCCAGTGTCCGCTCACTCCATTTTTTTTTTTTTCCATCTCTCTCCTCAAAAATCATTATGTAGTCATGAAGCAGTTTCTGGGCACGGTGCTTACCACATAAATGATTATTGCATGAATGAATGAATAATGAATGACTGAGATCATTGTAGAAAAGCTCTTATTCATCAAATATTCTTTAAAACTTTTAATCCTCAGATACTCTTTAAAATTTTCAGTTTTTTCCATTTCCCCCTGAGGCATAGAATTTGACACTCAAGTCCAGGATAGAAGAAAGAAGTAGGAGGAATCTCACCATATTATATTACACAGAGTACCTCAGGCCCTCTCTGATGCTACCTTAGCACATACGGTGATTTCTACTGTTACATAGAATCCAGCGCAAGGATTGGTTGCAAAGTATGCGAGGTGTCTGACTCTTTCAACCAACCACGGGTTCCATGAGTGCTAGTGCAACGTTTTTGTAATTTGTGTATATCAAATCCTTGACATAATACCTGGCATATTGTATGCATTCAAAATGTTATTAAACTGAGTTGAATTAAACACCTTGTTGAGTTGCATGTGCCTTCCCTTGTGGGTAACCAAAGTGACCTATACTTTAGTATAACACTAATTGTACTTTGTTTCATTTGTTACAATTACTTATCTTTCCCTTCTCTAATCTCTTAATTCCATCATTGTGAGTGCAGCCTGAGCCAAGATGGCGCCCGGGACCTCTGCCAAGTCCCATGATTAGGCGCATGATATACCGCCGGGCCCTCCTTCACTGCGCACTGCGCAGGTGCAA